TAATAAAGGTGTGGAGAGGATGGCTATAGGGGGAGAAGGGAGGCCATCACAAAAAAAGGAAAAAAAATAAAAAATTAATTAAATCCTAACAAATAAACCTGTGGTTTTTAAGAAATTAACTAAAGCCTTGAAAACAATTTCTACAGAACTTCCATCCATTATTTCCCTAATTGAAAACTGGAGCTTTTGTTGTAAAATCTTGTTCTTTAATATTTTCCTCTGATATTTATTACAATACATGATCACATGTTCCACTGCCTCTGACTGTGCACAATAATCACAGTTTCCACTTTCATGTTTTCCAATAATATGCAATGTGCTATTTAGTCTTGTGTGTCCAAGTCTCATACGAAATAAAATGTCTTCTTCCTTTCTATTTTTACTACTCCAAACTATTATCCCACCGACCTTTCTTTTCAAACTATAATAAAATCATCCTTTATTATGCCTTTCCCAAAATTCTTGCCACTTTACTTTGATCTTTTCTTTAATGATACTCTTTAACTCTGCTTTACTATAATTACATGGAAAGTCAACGATTTGCTTCGATGCCCGTTTCTTTGCATATTGTTCTGCTAACTCATTTCCTTCAACCCCTATGTGAGATGGAACCCATAGAAACACAATTTCCCTTCTAATTTGGAATAATCTATTTAATGTTTGTTGAATTTCATAAATAATATCCTGTCTTGACTCTGACTTCTTGTTCTGAATGCTTGTTAATGCACTGCAGGAGATAGAAACTATTAACACTTTTTTCTAAACCATTTCCCTCAATCCAGGTTAATGCAATAAGAATAGCTAAAAGTTCACCTGTATAAACTGATAAGTTATTATTAGTTTTATTATTTTTTATAATGCCCAAATTTGCTATCACAAATGCAATACCAACTTTATTATCACTAGTTTTAGATGCATCTGTATACAGTATACAGCCATGTACTCTGAATAATATTTTTCTGATATAACCCTCAACAACATTACTACTGTAAGATTGAATTTTTAACAGATTTAAACATACACTTGCGTCATTATAACACCAAGGAGCAATAGCAGCAATAGGAACTGTCAAACTTGATGTGAATTCTTGAAGACCAACCTCTTCTACAGTCCTTTTCTCCACCCACCCAAAACTAGAGAACTTATTTATCGTCCTCTCCTGACAAGGGTGTAGAATCTTTTGTCCAGGATGATTTATACTTTGTCCCAGTAAATTTGCCCATTATAATAGAGTTAGTTGACATCTCCTCATTTCCAAAGGCCTTCTCCCATTTCTACCTGGAGGGCTGCAACGGGGGTACTCCTCATTGCTCCTGTGCAAATCCTCAATGCTTGACTCTGGATAGCGTCTAACTTTTTTGATGACTTATTGCTGCTGACCTGTATAGAGCACATCCATAATCTATAACAGATCTAATAAGCATTAAATAGATTTTCCTAAAACAAGATTGACTTGCACCCCATTCACGTCCTCTAAGGCACCTCATAATATTTATTATCTTTTTACATTTTCCTATTATTTTATCAATGTGACAACCCCATAAGAGTTTAGAATCAAACTAGAACCCCAAATGTTTGAATTCCTTTAACTTTTCTAAATTCTGACCATATAATTTAATTTTAATAGTATTATTAATTGTTTTCTTTGTAAAAAAAACACAACTTTTGTCTTACTTACAGAAAATCTGAAACCCGCAATTCAACCTTAGCTATAGCCTGTTGTAATTTCTTTACTATATATTCAATATTTCTCCCCCTCTTCCACATCAATCCATCATCTGCAAAAAAGAGACACTCCTATAGATTCAATATTACAAAAAATTTCATTTATCATGATTGAAAATAAGACAGGGATTATAATACTTCCCTGTGGTGTACCGTTTTCCACTTCATACTTGGAACTAAAATCTCTCCCTATACGCACAGAAATATTTCTATCAGTAAAAAAGTTTTTGATCCATTTCAACATTTTCCCTCTGATTCCCATTTGATGCAATGTTATAATTTATCCCTCCCTCAACATCATATCATATGCTTTCTCCACATCGAAAAAAACTGCAACAACAGATTCCTTATTTACCTGTGATTTTCTAATTTCATCCTCTAATATCAATGCTGGGTCATTCATGCTCCTGCCTTTTCTAAATCCATATTGATAATTTTTAATTAAATCTCTAGTTTCTAGAAAATACACTATTCTGTTATTAATATTTTTTTCCATCAACATACCTACATGAGATGTCAAGGCCATGGGTCGATAACTTTCTGCTAAACAAGGATCTTTACCTGGTTTACCTATATGTACAACAATAGATTCTTTCCACTGATTTGGTAATACACCCTCTGTCCATACTTTGTTATATAATTTTAACAATATTCTTTTCACTTACACTTAGATTTCTTAACATTACCGGTATATATCTTATATAATCTTTCCCAGGAGTTGTCTTACCACATTTWTTTAATGCACTATTTAGCTCACTCATAGTAAACTCTGTATTGATAACATCATTATTCTCATTGTCTTCCTCCAAAATATTTATATTATTTCCTAAAGTTTTCCTTMTAGCTTGWTGTTCCTCTAAGGTCAAATTTTCTGCACTATGTACATTTACAAAGTGCTGGGCTAAAAGTTCTGCYTTACWWGTGTTATCCAAAACAACTCTCTTCCCACTTTTCATTACTGGGTAACCAAAGCCTCTATTATTACCTTGAAATTGCTGTCATAGATATAAAGGCCTTTATAAATCTGTGATTGCTGTCAACTGCACTTCCTGGTAGGTTTAGTAACGTCCCTCTCATTGGCTACTCTGAGTCTGGAGTAAACCCATCCATCCATCCATCCATCCATCCATCCATCCATCCATCCATTTCCTTCCGCCTATCCTGGGTCAGGTCGCGGGGGCAGCAGCTTCAGAAGGGAGGCCCAGACCTCCCTCTCCCCAGCCACTTCTTCCAGCTCCTACGGGGGAACTCCAAGGCGTTCCCAGGCCAGCTGAGAGACATAGTCCCTCCAGCGTGTCCTGGGTCTTCCTCGGGGCCTCCTCCCGGTGGGACGTGCCTGGAATACCTCACCAGGGAGGCGTCCAAGAGATGCCCGAGGCACCTCAACTGGCTCCTCTTGATGTGGAGGAGCAACGGCTCTACTCTGAATCCCTCCCAGA